GTGTTTCCATACATTCTCTGAAATATAGGCGGAGGCTTCTAAGCCTCAAATCTTGCATTTTGTACACCCACAGGCTTAACACCATGTGGAAGCTGCCAAGGTTTATGGCTTGTGCCCCCTGAAGCAGTGTCCCTCTGTACCTGGGCCCCTTTGAGCCACAGGCCAGGATGCAGGGAGCAATGTCCCAAGGCTGTGCAGGGTAGTGGGGCCCTGGATCAGCCCAAGAAAGCCATTCAGCCCTCCTAGGCCTCTGGGCCTGTTTTGGGAGGGGCTGCCATCATGGTCTCTGAAATGCCTTTGAGGTTATCTCCCCATAGTTTTAGCTATCAGCATTTGCCTTCCTTTTAGTTACGGAAATTTCTGCAGCCTGCTTGAATTCCTGCCCTGAAAATGGACTTTTCTTTTCTACCACGTGGCCAGGCTGCAAGTTTTCTGAACTTTTATGCTCTGCTTCCCTTTTAAACACAAATTCCAGCTTTAGGTTATTCCTTGGCTCACACATATGAGCATAGGTTGTTAGAAACAGCCAGGCCACATCTTGAATGCTTTCCCATTTAGAATTTCTTACACCAGATACACACTCTCAACTTCAGAGTTCCACAGATCCCTTAGAGCAGGGGCACAAAATGCAGCCAGGATCTTTGCTGCAGCATAGCAAAAATGACTGTATTAGTATTAGTCCGTGTTCTCTTAAAGGGACAGAACAAATAGGAGATATATATATAAAAATACATTTTTATGTAAAATATTTTATATAATCATATAAAACTATATTAAATATATAAATTATATTAAATATATAAAAATTGTATAGAATTTGTATTTTATATATGTATTTTTTATTTGTATAAATATATATATAAACTCATATATAGGAGAGTATATATATATATAGAGAGAGAGAGAGGAGAGTTTATGATAAAGTATTAACTTTCTTGATCACAAGGTCCAACAATGGGCCGTCTGCAAGCTGAGGAGCAAAGAGCCAGTCCAAGTCCCACAACTAAGGAACTTGGAGTGTGATGTTGTAGGGCAGGAAGCATCCAGCGCGGGAGAAAGATATAGGCTGGGAGGCGAGGCCCATCTCTCCTTTTCAGGTTTTCCTTCCTGTTTTTTTTTTTTTTTTTTTTTTTTTTTTTTGAGACAGAGTCTCACTCTGTTGCCCAGGCTGGAGTGCAGTGGCACCATCTCAGCTCACTGCAGCCTGCACCTCCTGGGTTCACTCCATTCTCCTGCCTCAGCCTCCCAAGCAGCTGGGACTATAGGTGCCCACCACCACACCTGGTTAATTTTTTTGGATTTTTAGTAGAGACGGGGTTTCACAGTGTTAGCCAGGATGGTCTTGATCTCCTGACCTCATGATCTGCCCGCTTTGACCTCCCAAAGTGCTGGGATTACAGGTGTGAGCCACCACGCCTGGCCCTTTTTTCCTGCTTTATATTCGCTGGAAGCTGATTGGATTGTGTCCACCAGATTAAGGATGGATCTGCCTTCCCCAGCTAAGTGGCTCAAATGTTAATCTCTTTTGGCAGTACCCACAAAGGCACACCCAGGATTAATACTTTCTATCCCTCAATCCAATCAAGTTGACACTCAGTATTAACCATCACAGTGACCTTTACTCTGGTTCCCGGTAAGTTCCTCATTTCCATCTGAGACCTCCTCAGCCTGGACTTCATTGTCCATATCACTATCAGCATTTTGGTCACAACCATTCCACAATCTCTAGGGAGTTCCAGATTTTCCCTCATCTTCCCGTCTTCTTCTGAGCCCTCCACACCCAATTCCAAAGTTGCTTCCACGTATTCAGGTATCTTTATAGCAATGCCCGACTCCTTGCTACCAATTTTCTGTATTAGTCCTTCTTGCATTGCTATAAAAACATGCTTGAGACTGGATAATTTATACAGAAAAGAGACTTAATTGACTCATGGTTCCACAGGCTGCACAGGAAGCATAGTGGGAAGCTGCTCCTGGGAAGGCCTCAGGGAGCTTTTACTCACGGCGGAAGGCGAGATGGGAGTAGGCTTCCGACATGGCAGGAGCAGGACTAAAAGAGGGGGAAGGTGCTGCACACTTTTAAAACAACCAGATCTTGTGATCACTCACTCACTCACTCACCATCAAGAGAAGGGCACTGGGAGATGGTGCTTAACCGTTCGTAAGAGCTCCATCCTCATGATCCAGTCACCTCCCACCAGGCCCCTCCTCCAACACTGGGGATTACAATTCAACATGAGATCTGGGTGGGGACACAGATGCATGTGAGTATATATGAGCTCTATGAGATGGCAAAGACAAGGATTGATGTTTGTGAAATAAATGCTTTGTGATTTTATTGGAAACTGGATCTCACAGATGCTGCATAAAACTTATGTTGTAGGCTTTACATGTGTGTGTTAAAGTTTTGGAGCCCCGGTGTGTGAAAGAATCTGCATTGCCTACGTGCTGTGCCAGCGGCATCCTTGGGTGAACACTGAGCAGAAATGTAACGTGTCCCTTTGAATAATGGGGAGGGATTTCAAGGGTTTGCTCTGCTCTGCACTTCTGACACTAGCAGGAGATAGAGGAGAGCCTTTCCTCTGCCCCTTCCAGAGTGCAGCTGTGTTCAGAGCATGTACCTGTCCAGACACCGAGTTCTGGGGTCACACTTCTTCCCTTACTGAGTACATAGATAGTAGGTTAGAGGGGTTTTGAGTAGTCATTGGAAGTGGCTTCTCCTGAACCATTATTATTGTTATTATTTTTGAGACCAAGTCTCACTCTTTTGCCCAGGCTGAAGTGCGGTGGCGTGATCTTGGCTCACTGCAACCTCCGTCTCCCAGGTTCAAGTGATTCTCCTGCCTTGGACTCCTGAGATGCTGGGATTACAGGTGTATGCCGCCACACCTGGCTCATTTTTTTGTATTTTTAGTAGAGATGGTTTTTCACCATGTTGGCCAGGCTGATCATGGACTCCTGACCTCAAGTAATCCGCCCTACTTGGCCTCCCAAACTGTTGGGTTTACAGGCGTGAGCCACTGTGCCTGCCCCAGCCAGTATTTTGAACTATCCCATTGTGGTGAGCCCTGGGGATTTTTGTTTTTTTAATTGCCGAGGGCAGTGCACGATGGGTGAGAGGTTTGTTTTGCCTTTGGTAACCTGGGGAAAGTGCTTTTTGAAAGGGAGGTAGAAAAGGAGATTTGTTCTCGAGCAGTTCAGTTTCACAAAGAATCTGTAGAGGTTAAGGTCTAGTGGCTGATTCTCATACAACCAGTGGTTCTCTGTGTATGGTCCCCAGATCAATAGCATCAGCTCTTCCAGGAACTTGTTAAAAATGCAGATTCTTGGGCTGTACCTGAGCACAGTCAAATCCAGAATTCTGGGGGGCCTCCAGGTGATCCTGGTGCAAGCACATAGGAGTTTAGATGATTTTCCCTGACTCATTCATACAGTGTCTAGATGATATAATGACTAGTTTTCCATAAACATTAGACACTTTATTTTTGTATATTTTGGAACCAATGTAATTAGTTTTCAACTGTATTGAAGAACGCAGAATATGTACCACCTGATGAATAAAGGTTCCTAATTGCCAAGTGAGGAATGACAGGAGCCAGAACCCTTGGGCATGACCCTAACCTCATGTCCCCCTGGGGGTCCTCTCTTGGAGGGTGTCCTGGAGCTCTGTGGGCAGCTCATGGGCTTCTGGGCCAGGGTTAGGGTCTGCTGGAAAAGAGGTTAGTCCCTAGACATTCCCAAACCTGGACCACCTAATAACAGCTCGGAGGGGGGTGTACATGCCGCCTTTGGGAAAGGGACCAGACCATCATCCTGTCTCCCTTGGACTTGTCTGATTTTAACCAGGTTCCTTTATTCTTGCAATTTTACATCTACTTCTGATCCTTTTGAAATGTAACCATTTTGTCTTACTAAAATAGAAATCTCATGAAGACACTTCCTAGCTTAAAATTAAGACCCGTACGGTCTTAATGGTCTTTTGCCTTTGGAAAAAGTTCCGAGGTTTCATTCGGCCTTGCATCCTCTCCTGCCTCTGAGTTTCCTCAGGCCTGCCCGGAGCTGTGCAGATGCCGCCTCAGCAACCTCAGATGAGGCAAGGGACCTTGCTGAGGAAGGATTCTCCTTTCATGCCACCCAAAAAATTTACATTAATTTTGACGTTGCTTTTTCCTACAACATGAGCTACACAGCCTGTCCTATCCTGTCCTCAGGATAGTCATCTGTGTTCATGACTGAGCTGCCCCTCGGTCAGTGTGGACGAGAGGGCCGTCCTGGGTCAGTGTGGATGAGAGAGCTGCTGCCTGAGTCATTACTGCTTTTAATTTTTTAGGGTCCCTCTTCCTGTGTTATAATTTCTTATTTAGTCACTGCGAGCTCTGTGAGAACTGAGCTGTTTGTCACTATCTCCCCAGGACCTTGTGGAGAATTAATAAATGCTTGTCCTTTTTTTTTTTAATACAACATTTTAAATTCATCGGCTTCTGCAGAAAACGGTATGAGATATCTCAGAACTGAAAATGGAGTTACCATTGGATCCCGCAGTCTTACTATGCATTTCTACCCAAAGGAAAGTAAATCGTATTAAAAGAATACCTGCATTTGTATCTTCATTCCAGCACGATTCATAATAGCAAAGATGAAATCACTTAAGTGTCTATCAGTGGATGATTGATTAAAGAAAATGTGGAATATAAATGCTTGTTTGTTAAGTACACTAACCACACCCTGTTTCTGGATATTTCTCTGGTGTTTATTAATGCCCCCCCCCGCCCCAACCCCTGTCTCTTGCATTGCAGTTTGGGGCGGAATTCCGAAGGTTCTCTCTGAACCGTCATAAGCCTGGGAAGTTTGAAGATTTCTACAAGCTGGTTGTACACACCCACCATATCTCCAACAGTGATGTAACTATTGGCTACGCAGATGTACACGGAGACCTGCTGCCCATCAACAATGACGACAACTTCTGCAAGGCGGTTTCCAGTGCAAACCCCCTGCTCAGGGTCTTCATCCAGAAACGAGGTACTGAAGTGGTTGAGTGGCTGCCTGGTCTTGTTGAACAATCATTTTTAAAATATAGTTTTCAATTTTTTCTGTCATTACATTTGGTTCTGTTTTCTAACCTGTAGTAGGAGATTAAAGAAATTAAAATGTGTTTGATCAACATTAATTTAATATACTTAAAATACTCACATTGTGTTTTCTACCTTAAATGGTATTGACTTCTGACTTTTAAATACTGAAGAAAGAATAATATTGATACTTCCAGTCGTTTAACTAGAAGTGAAATAACTCAATGATAAGGAGGCTTGAGTCAGTGGCCTCAGAATGAAACTTGGGGTTACTGGCGCGTGCTTTCCATCATCTCGTTGGTAGTAGGGAATATGTTAGCTTTAGATGATAACTGGTTAACTTTTAGCTCTGAGGCCCAGTTTCGCCATAACTAATAATATCATTTTATGTTAAAATAAATTACTAACATAGGTTAATGGCTGAAAGGGAAGGGGGGTGCCCTGCTGCTGACGTACTGTGGGACCTCATACTGCTCACATCTCTGAACTGCATTTAGATTTTTTTTCCATCTCCAAACTTCGGAGACCCTTGTTGTTTCAAGATAATATGCTGAAAGAAAGAAGGACCTGCAGGTGAGGCTTGATATTGGGAAAATGGCATTTTTATAACTGACTGCCTCTCCTTCTTTGGGCGGCCCCGCAGTGCACGTGGTGAACACTGACCACCTCAAGGAGCCAAGCAGCCAGTGGTGACACTTGCAAAGTGAAGTTGCCGTGTGCCCTGTCTGCCCTCGTGGATCTGCTGCCAGAGTCTCTGGGACAGCTAGGAGAGGTTTCCCAGAGGAAAGCCTGAGCTGAGACTACAGGAAGCAGCAGCAGGGTGCTGGGCGGGAGGCAGGCTGGGCGAGTTCTCAGACGAGGCCCCCCGCCTCCTTCACCCCAGTGTCCTGCTTTGCAAAACGAGGGTACTCACCTAGTAGCCCCCATCCAGTTTCTGTAAGGGTGGTGCTGAGCAGCGTGCCGCCAGCTCCTCACCCCTGCTCTGTAAATACTAGCGATGGCTGTTATTCCCATCTGTGGTGATGAAGGGAACGGCAGGAGACTCATTGACCTCACTTCAGACAGATTCTCTGGCACAAGATCAGAACACTCTGCATCTGCAGTTCTCACTGGGCCTGGGTATCCTGCTGATGGTGCTGAGAAGTCAACACAGCTGTCACTTCCTCGCAGTGGCCTGGGGGACGGGCTGAGCTTCAGCTTCCGCATCAGTCCCTCAGGGTTGCTGGGGGACAAGGACCCTCACTGTCTCTGCAGGGTTCTGCACAGCCTCCAGCACGCCACACCTCGGTCCTCTGTATGCTGCCCTCTGCAGTAGCCACCTGCTGCTTTGCTGGTCCTGGAATGGAGGCCTGTGCGCCCTGCCCCCTGACCTGGAACTCTCCACTCCTTCACATTGCCTGGGTATCTGTATCTGTTCACAGGCTGCCTTCTCAGGAAGGCCTGGTCTCAGCTGCTTGATCTGATGAGCCCGTGTTCCCCTCTGCACGTCGTCCTCTGTCCTCTTACTCAGCTTCCTCTGTGCTCTGTCCCTTGCTCACAGAGCTAGTTTGCCGTCCGTCTCCACCCGGCCGGGAGCGTTGCGGGGCGTGTGCTCCTGGCTGTACCCCTGCCATCCGAGGTCACAGCATTTGCTCACATGGTGTGGGTTGAGCAATGGTGTGAAGAAGGTGTGGTGTAAACTGCAGATGTGCGCACGGGCTTTGTTGCCCGTTGTGCAAGAAACAAGTCTTTTGGCCCTGTTGACTGTGGAGCTGGGGTGAAGGCCGGCAGAAGGCACCGTGCCCTTTGGCAGTTGGCCCCAGGAGTCTTGGCACCCTCTACTCGGGATGCACCAAAGCTGACGTGGGACCAGAAAGTGGGCTTGTGTGTTGCCAGTGGGGATGTACTAACCTCCAGCAGCGGCTTGGACAGCTCCGCCTCTTTCCAGCTTGCTGGCTGGGCCTGTGTTCAGTCTTCGTCATTTCTTTTTCCTTCTTCCTCTGCCCTCTGAGTAGTAGCCCAGTTTAACTAGCTGGCTTAGGATTTCTATGTCTCGTGGTTGTAGCGTGAGCATGTCGCCAGCAGCCCCTGCCTTTCTCTGTCATGTTACAGCGTGGAGCTAGGGAGACCCGAACTCAGACCCCACCTTCTCCCTGGCTTTGTGACACAGACATGCGCCTTGTCCTGCAGAGCTCTAATGTCCTCACCTGTAGCACAGGTGGCAGTGCCTGCCTCTGGGGTTGTTGTCAGGGCTTAATAGCGAAATCTGCTGATGACAAGCCCTTGGCTGGTCCTGCGTATACATCACTGGCCCCTTGGTCCTGTCCTTGGGAAAATGAGAGCTGCCTCTCACTGTCCTCGGTGGATTTGACTGTAAAGATGACGACATTCCAGGTGGCGATTAGAGGCAGTTGTATCCTGTGCACAGTCAGGCACCCTCCCTGCATAGGAATCTGTGCGGATGTTTAGTAATCTGTGTGTTTGGGGCAGAGCTGAGGCCCCCTGAGAGGCAACACTCAATCCCACAGCCTTTTTACTGCAGCAGGGGTGTTGCGGGGTCAGTCACGGTCATGCTGTTTTCATGATTCTACTGCAGCCATACCCACTCTGTCATTTACTTAATAACTTTCTGTACACGGACATATTTTATTTAAATATATTTTAAGAGAGAATTTACGATCACAGAGGAAAAGTCAGCATTCTCCTAATACATGTCGAAATAGACCCCAATTATGCTTAAAAAAATTAATCTGTTTCTCAGCTGAGCGCAGTGGCTCACGCCTGTGATCCCAGCACTTTGGGAGGCCAAGGCAGGTGGATCACTTGAGGTCAGGAGTTCGAGACAAGCCTGGCCAGCATGGTGAAACCCTATCTCTACTAAAAAATATAAAAATTAGCCAGATGTAGTGGCACGTGCCTGTAGTCCCAGCTGCTCGCTGGATTGAGGCAGGAGAATTGCTTGAACCCAGGAGGCGGAGGTTGCAGTGAGCCAAGATTGCACCACTGCCCTCCAGCCTAGGTGACAGAGCGAAACTCCGTCTCAGAAAAAAAGAAAAATTAATCTGTTGCTTAAAATAATCTCTTCCTCCAAACCATACAAAGGCACAGTGATAAACTACAGAATAGCATTCCTTTATGAATGTAGATGTAAAAACCCTTCAGCAAAATACTAGCACATGGAAAAATGCACCCACACAAAAAGTACACAAATGTTCATAGCAACATTATTCACAATATCCATAAGGCGGGAACAACCCACGCGTCCATCAGCTGATGAATGGATAAAGTGCGTGCATGCGTGTGTGTGTCTAGTCAACGAAGTGTGTGCGTGCGCGTGTGTGTCTAGTCAACAAAGTGTGTGCGTGCGCGTGTGTCTAGTCAACAAAGTGTGCATGCGCGTGTGTGTCTAGTCAACGAAGTGTGTGCGTGCACGTGTGTCTAGTCAACAAAGTGTGTGCGTGCGCATGTGTGTCTAGTCAACAAAGTGTGCATGCGCGTGTGTGTCTAGTCAACGAAGTGTGTGCGTGCGCGTGTGTCTAGTCAACAAAGTGTGTGCGTGCGCGTGTCTAGTCAACTGCACGCGCACGTGTCTAGTCAAGTGTGTTCATGCGCGTTTGCCTAGTCAACAGTGCGTGCATGTGCGTGTGTGTCTAGTAAAAAAAGTGCGTGCATGTGCGTGTGTCTAGTCAAAGTGTGCACACGTGTGTCTAGTCAACAGTGCGTGCATGTGCGTGTGTCTAGTCAACGAAGTGTGTGCATGCGCGTGTGTGTCTAGTCAACAAAGTGTGTGCATGCGTGTGCGTGTCTAGTCATGCAGTGGAATATTATTGAGCCGTAAAAAAATGATGCACTGACACATGCTACAGATGGATGAACCTCAGAAACCTTATGTTTAAAAGTGAGAGAAGCCAGACATAGAAGTTCCTATATTGTATGATGACTTTTGGAGTTGATTCTCATTATTCAAGGATTGTGTATTGATGAGAATGTTGTGACCAGAGGCTCACAGGAACCTAAGCCTGTATTCCCCCGGAAGCAATGGTTCCGTGCTCAGTAATTCAGTGACCGTGTCAATTTTAGAGAACAAACTACCACACGTGACGAGAATCCTCTGTAATGTCAAAAGTCCAGAATGGGCAAATCCATGACTCATGGTTGCCAGGGGCTGAGAGGTAGGGAGAATTGGGAGGGAGGGGGTTTCTTTCTGGGGTGATAGAAATGTTCTAGAACTAGAGATTTGTGTAAATACCAACAACCATTGAATTCTACACTTTAAATGGGTGAAGTTTATGTGAATTATATTGGAATAAAGCTGTTAAAAATAGAAGGGACTGTCCACCTTACCAGGGCTGATGAGCAGACCCCTGGATCTGAGCCATGGCCCTGGATGAGGTTTTAGGGGTTTATCTCCAGCCTTTATTTCCAAAATTCAGCCATCCTCCATATGTGAATACTTTGACTTTTTAATAAACATATTTGTTCAAAACTTTTTTAAAAAATCCTCTCTTTCCCTGGCAATAGGAAACTTCCTATGCTTCTCTGAGAGGGCTCCAAGCCTGATGAATGCCCCAGGTGGGCACAGGAGTGTGGCATCCTCAGCTGCCTCCCTGTCCTCACTGGGAATGCACACAGCACAGCCCAGTGGGATTAGCTGGGCCTGTCACTTTGTTACCAACAGAAATGACGGATATTTTCATATCCTATGGTAGTTGCATTCCGATATCCTAAATATCATTTATAGTAATCATTATTTAAAAACAATGGTCCATATTGTTCTTTAATGCATGAATAAGAAAAGTAATGTGCCACACATTTGCTTTACTTTTCTGATAATTGTCTTCAAAATAATTTCCTCTATAATCCCCTGTGCTTTATTCTATGCCTTTAAGAACGTTATTTTGAGAAAGGGGTTCCCAAGCATCATCAGATTGCGAAAGGGCTCTTGGCTTATCCCAGGTTCAGAGCCCCGCTTGCAGAGAGGCCGCATTTGGGGCTCAGACAACAGGCCGGAATGACTTCGCTTTCCTTCTCCTGGGATGATCAGATGTTCTCTCGATGACTACATGGCATTTGGGGGCAAAAGGACCCAGCCTTAGGCCTTCAGTGCCTTTCTTCTTTATTTGCTATGCTTCTGCTGCATCTGGCCAGGGACTGTGAAAAGCCAGGGGCTTTTCCTTTGGACAAATAACAGCTGTCTTTGCCCTTCTCTGTATCGCTGTGCGCATTTAAGTAAGAACAACAGCAGTTACCAGAATGGATTGGCCACGATGAGAGGGTCTGGACTTGAGTCTGCCTATTTAGGTTGCAAACACAGTGTGTTAAGTGTTAAGGACGCACTTCTCTGTTTCCCTGCTCCCCAGGGGTGCAGGAATGTTTTGGGAAGCTGGCCCTTGCCAGAGAATGCACAACCAAGTTGATACTTGGAGCGTCTCTTTCTATTTTTAGCAGGATAAACAGGAAGTGCAAACAGTAACTTTTCCCTGCTTATCCATCAAATAAACTCTGCAAATGCTAGCATAGGCTGTAGTGTGGTTACTTACCTCCAGGCACAGCCCAGGACTTGGTAGGGTGTGTCAGTAGTCCTCCTCCGGAATGTGAAGACTTAATTACACTGAAAGATGGTCAGCACAGAGCACTCTGGACTCCTTACTTTTAAAGCTAACATCAGTGTTGCACATTTGCATATACTTGTTAACTGTTCTTGGCATTCTGGGCATTCTTTTGGGTTCCTAGAATGAGGAGAACGCAGTTGTAAACTGTTTATCAAAAGTTGCACGACGGGGTGTATTTTGCTATGATCGCACTTAAGTGAGTTACTAGAAAAAGCAAGGGGTGTTCTTCAAAGTAAAACATGGAATGATTAAGAATCTCGTTATGGACACTGGCAGAATTTTCAAGTATCAAGCATAGAAATCCTGCTTATAATTGTTTATCTTGGATTCTTAGGTAACTAGCTAGAGGTCTGTTTGGTTTTTAAATTGAGGGTTCACTGCTCATCAGGAAGCCCTCAGTTAAGCCGCCAGAATTCAATTTCTGCATTCCACGCCCCATTGTCGTCTCTTTCCTCAGACGCCGCCTAGGGGCTTAGGCTGTGCCTTGGGGGCAGGGAAAGGGTGTGTTTTTGCTGAATTAGCCTCACTGTGTCCCTGTGCTTATGGGAACAGACAGAATGTGGGCTTTGCCCTCTGGGGTAGGAGGTTTTCCGTAAGACACGTTTGCTGCTTTATTTGCCACAGATTCCTGTAAGTTTGTGTGTTTGGAGGATTTTCTTTTTTTTTTTTTTAATGAAAGAAAAAAGTCTCCCACTCCACCGTGGGAACGTGGAGAAGATGAAATTCCTGCAGCTGCGTTCACGCTGGAGTAGGAGTGTGTTGAGGGAGGAGAAAATGTGCTGATGTAGCTCATCAAAAAGAAACAGAGCCAGAGGCCCCCCCTCCAGAAGAATCCAGGGTTGTCCTCCAGGGCGCCCACGTGAAGCCAGCTCTGCAGGCGCGGTTGGGACCAGCCACGGCCGCCCGGCTGTCTGCCTTGAGCCAATGGGAAGGGAGAGGGAAACAGATGACTAACTCATATTCTCCAGTAGTCCCAGCAAAACACCTTGTATGTAAACGGTGAGAGTTTATACTGATTGAATTGGAGTCTGTGATTTTTCTACTTTTCTTAACATTTAAACCCATAATGTATTTATAATTTGGATTATCTTTAAAGACCTAACATATCATACCTGTCATTAAATTCTTCATAAAACTTTGTTGTTTTTAAAAAAGCTCTTCTGTTTAAAACATATTTGTAAAGCAAGATTCAGATGACATAGAGGCAATCCCACCGCCCTGAGGCAATGACTTTTGCATTTTGGCAAAATCATTCCAGGCCTCTCGCTATAGATGCGGTTAGTTGGACATAGTTTTACATAAACAGGGTCATGATATACATGGCATAGCAATTATTTTAACCTACCACCATATTTTTTGTCTTTTTGTAGATGTGTATGTAGACATACATCAATGATGGACATATCAGTTACATGACTCTAACAAAGTATAACCAAGTCCTTATTGTTATTTAAATTGTTACAATTTTATTATAAACTGTTGTATATTTTAAAATACTTGTCAGGTTCTGTTTTTAAGGAAAACTAGTAGAAATGTTCTTGCTGGGTTAAAAGGTATGAGTATTTTGAACTAAAATATATATATTGCCAGGGGACCACTCTTTTGTAGGGCTCTAGAGTAACATTTGAATTGGTTGTTACTTTAAAAAAAAATTTACTTTTTTTTTTTTCCTTGAGACAGAGTCTTGCTCTATCGCCCAGGCTGGAGCGTACTGGTGCCATCTCGGCTCACTGACATGGGCGCCTCCCAGGTTCAAGCGATTCTCCTGCCTCAGACTCCTGAGTAGCTGGGATTACAGGCACGCTCCACCACGCCTGGCTGATTTTGTTGTATTTTTAGTAGAGAGGGGGTTTCACCATTTTGGCCAGGCTGGAACTCCTGACCTCTGGTGATCCGTCCACCTTGGCCTCCCAAAGTGCTGAGATTACAGGTGTGAGCCATTGCCCCTGGCCAGAAAAAATATATATGTGTGTATATAAGTATCTTTGAAGACTCTTACTGTGTGGAACAGGAACTCCTGATCTTTGAATTGCTCCTCTGGAGTGCTGCAGTGAAGGCGGCGGAGGTCTGGCCTGAGGTGCGGGCGGGCGGAGGTCTGGCCTGAGGTGCGGGCGGGCGGAGGTCTGGCCTGAGGTGCGGGCGGGCGGAGGTCTGGCCTGAGGTGCCCGGGGAGGTCTGGCCTGAGGTGCGCGGGGAGGTCTGGCCTGAGGTGCGGGCGGGGGGAGGTCTGGCCTGAGGTGCGGGGGGGGAGGTCTGGCCTGAGGTGCGGGCGGGGGGAGGTCTGGCCTGAGGTGCCGGGGGAGGTCTGGCCTGAGGTGCGGGCGGGCGGGAGGTCTGGCCTGAGGTGGGGCGGAGGTCTGGCCTGAGGTGCGGGCGGGCGGAGGTCTGGCCTGAGGTGCGGGCGGGGGGAGGTCTGGCCTGAGGTGCCCGGGGAGGTCTGGCCTGAGGTGCGGGCGGCGGAGGTCTGGCCTGAGGTGGGGCGGAGGTCTGGCCTGAGGTGCGGGCGGGGGAGGTCTGGCCTGAGGTGCGGGCGGGGGGAGGTCTGGCCTGAGGTGCCCGGGGAGGTCTGGCCTGAGGTGCCCGGGGAGGTCTGGCCTGAGGTGCGGGCGGGGGGAGGTCTGGCCTGAGGTGCGGGCGGGCGGAGGTCTGGCCTGAGGTGCGGGCGGGCGGAGGTCTGGCCTGAGGTGCCCGGGGAGGTCTGGCCTGAGGTGCGGGCGGGCGGAGGTCTGGCCTGAGGTGCCCGGGGAGGTCTGGCCTGAGGTGCGGGCGGGCGGAGGTCTGGCCTGAGGTGTGGGCGGAGGTCTGGCCTGAGGTGCGGGCGGGGGGAGGTCTGGCCTGAGGTGCGGGCGGGCGGAGGTCTGGCCTGAGGTGCCGGGGGGGGCTGGCCTGAGGTGCGGGCGGGCGGAGGTCTGGCCTGAGGTGCCCGGGGAGGTCTGGCCTGAGGTGCGGGCGGAGGTCTGGCCTGAGGTGTGGGCGGAGGTCTGGCCTGAGGTGCCCGGGGAGGTCTGGCCTGAGGTGCCTGGGGAGGTCTGGCCTGAGGTGCGGGCGGGCGGAGGTCTGGCCTGAGATGCTGGGGGGAGGCTGCTTTCCTGCCAGAATAGCACTGAGGGGGCCAGATGGATGGCTGCCCGCCCTGGGAACGGGGATCCCCACTTCTCCAAGCACCTGGCACTTTGTATTCATGGACGCTCCTCTCAGCCTGGCCTTGGTGGACGAGGAGCTATAGGTCTGCTGAGTTCAAGTTTAGCAAAAAGGATGCTGCCTGTCAGCAGATTGTACCTGTCACTTGGCCAGAGCGTTGTGTGGTAAAAATGGCCATGTCATGGCTTCTGTCATGTCAGAGTGGCTTGTGTGATGATTAACACATTTGTGTGGGTACAGTTTGATGGAAATGAGGCCATACGTGGAGGCACAGGTTGGGGCTTTCTTTTCATACTAGGCCAGTGATCATCTCGAGCCCAAGTGATTCGTGGTCCAGGGTGAGACTCTGACTGGCAGAGCTGGTTTCCTGCCCCCTCCTCCTCCTGCCGTTTTATTCCCCAGCCACACAGCGAGACCCAACAGCGGCGCTGCTGTTCTCTAGCAGTCGGCCAGGAGGGTCACCTCTAGTCACATCTCTGCTGCAGCACAGCCAGCCCCTCGGAGGGGCTCACTTGAGCCCCTGGTCTCCTCAGGCTGACACCTCACACATGGGTTTCTCTGTTCCCATGGGTATCATTACCCCCCAGTTATGTCCATCTCTCTTCTAGTTAACATCTCTTATTTCCTAAAATTCACCTCTGTTACCGTTTTCACTTCAGGAACCCTTAGAAATAATTTCCCACGTGGCCTAGGTCCTCCTGCACCAGTATTTTGGAGCCAGGATTATGAAGTACGCAAAGTCCAGAGCTCACCCCTACCCCACAGAACTAAGATCTCAGGGGTGAATGTCCATGGCTCATGCACATTGATGTTTATGAACATTTAGAATGTTCTCAGAAACGTTATGTTTTACTGCTAACCAAGGATTTTTAAAATTATCATGTGACTCTCACAATAAACCAAGTTGTGTAAATTTTCTCCTTTTACACATGATGACACTGAGGCTTCAAGAAAGGTCAAACATTGTGAATATAGTTCTCAGCTAAAGTTTGAAATTTAGTTCACTTATCCATGAGCTCGGGCCCATTTGGCACCTTTATTTATGTGGAGGATGCAGGGGTGGTGACAGGCATGCATCTCACACTAGTGCATTCGCATTTCGCTTGCTAGTGCTCAGAACCGAGGGTTGATTCAGTGGCACTGTCACGTTAAGGCCGTGTTGCTTTCCCGTGGCCAGGAGAATCCCTATTCAGTAGTGCCTTAATGAAAAGTAGCTCTTGTAGAAATGATATTCCTATATTAGTTTGGAGTCCAGAGACATAAAAATTTCCACTGTGAACTTTTTTCTTTTCCAGAAACGTAAGCAAGATTTGGATTTCCTCTTGCACAGCAGTTTCTTTTCCTGTTTTTGCGCCGTATCTCGTACTTTCCATCCCCTCCTGTTGGAAAATGATTCAGCCTGTAGGTCACCATGTGTAGCACATCCCACCTGTACTCAGGCTCCCAGAAATCCCGACTGTTTTTGTAGCACTTGACCCACACAGGCAGAGTTGGGGGTGAGAGGTGCTGTTGGAGTTGGAGCCGTTTACTCCTCATGGTGGTTTGTGGGGCAGGGATGCTGAGCGTTCCCGCCTTCCTGCCAGCACTTCCTGCCAGCGCTCCTCAGCAGTTCCACTCGGAGCCACAGGCTGGGGTGGAGGAAAGTGTCAACACCAAGACATTAACCAGTACCATAGACGAATGACTTACTTTTTATATAACATAGAATGTACTATTTTAACAATCTTTAGGTATAAGTTTAGGGGCAGTAAGTACGTTAGGTACATTGTACAAACATCACCATCATCTGTCTCCAGAATGTTTTAATCTTCCCAAACTGAAACTCTGTACCCATTAAAGTGTTTTGTATTTTTGTTGCAATTGAAGTCAAACTCCAAAAAACAGCTCTGTACCTATAAGTATAAATTTCTACACAATGTCCTTGGGGCATGTTTATAACTGATACATCTGTGGTCTTACTAGAAATTTCAAATCAAAGGGTGAGGAATTATACTTTTTCAAAAAGCAGGAAAGAATTTTCCCTTGCTGATGGAGTCGTTGAGTCTCTGGGGAGTTCCCTGACCCTTCCCCAGGCCACGTGTGAGGCCGACCCTCCTTCCCTGGCTGCTCCTCCTAGCACCTGTGCACTGACCACACCCCAGGCCAGAGGCTCCTAGGACCTGGAGTGGGGAGGACGTCGGGATCAGGAGTGAGCCTTCTGTGAGGCTGGCATCCGTGCTGAGGAGGGGCTGTGCCTCTTGGGCTTCAGGTGGGTCTCCGAGTTAAATTGCCCTGGGAAAGAGTACAGCTCGGAGGCCTTAGCCACCGTCTGTGCGCGGCCTCTCTGAACTAGGAAGCAAGTTCTGTCTCGCGATGTCCGTCCTCTGTGGTGTGTTGACATGTTGGCGGCAGGGACCAGGAGGACGTGGACACGTTGGTGCTTCATCCACCAGAAGCTGCTGCAGAGCAGCTCCCCGCAGACACCTCTCCGCCCTCCACACAGGAGTGAGGGGAGGACTGACGGCCCAGCTCCCATGGCCAGCGAGCCCACGGTGTGGGGACTGTGAGGAGGAGATGATGAGCAGTGGAGATTTGGGATTGGTTGACCAGGTGTGCTTTTCTTTCACTCTCATCCTTCTTCCCTCCTTGTCTTTGGTGTTCTGGACCACTGTGAGGCTCCGAAAGTACAGTGTACCCTTCAATGTGTCATGACAGCCCCACGCAGGTCCCTGGGGCTGCCTTGGCAATTGTGGGACTTCAGGCTCCCAGCACAGCGTCTGCTGTCCCCCGTCACCTGGGCTCACACTGGGCAGTGGCTTCAGTTGGGGTTGGCATTCAGTCGAGGCCTCTCCTAAGGACTCCGAAACAGATCTGCTCCCAAGTGGCAGCTAAACAGCCCCCTGGAGCTGGAGCTGAGGCCAGATGGCCCCTCTGCCTGCACTGCGCCCCACCTCAGGGTCAGACTCAGAGACCACCAAAGGAGAGCGTTCATTGATGCTCTTGCTTCTCAGGAATGAACCAAGGGGCCACCGTCATATCGTGTCTCATAGAGAATGCGCAGTCTCGGTCTTTTGACCCCAGCACCTTCTAGGGTTTTTAGTGACTCCTTAATGATCAAATGGAAACTCTTCTGTGGTTAACGCTGACCTTCTTGTACATTGAAAACATGAAAATACACGTTTTTGATGTTCAGAATCATCAAGGTGAAGTTAGATACCTTTGACCAATTTAAGATTTGGCTTTGGAGGCTGGTTTGTCAGCACTAGGAAATAAATCCCTATCTTGGAACAAGTCTTGTCTAACCTAAACAGTTCTCCAACAAATGATTCTCTCTGGCTACCCTCATTATCACATGTATACATCTAAGCACATTTAGTTAATAAACATTGAGTCTCCTGCTATGGCAAAATCATAGGAATTTGAAATTGAAGTAATTTTAAAGGTCATCCAATCGAGCTTTCTTCTTTACAGGTGAGGAACCAAAAACCCAGCTGGGCCAAGTCCAAGGCTCCCACTTAGGTGGCTGACAAATATATTTAAATAGTGGCATAGGCCCTTGTAGGCTTGGTTTTCTTACAGACCAAAACCTAAATGATTTAAACATTTTTCAAGAAAATTTCTTGTTATCAGATGAAAGAACCAGTAGCAATTCATATGTCTGAGCTGCCTGCGATCTATCATCTGTGGCAGAAAATTTATGTCTCTTCATCTCATTGCCCAGGGACACACATGGGGGCTCCTGGTGGTGAGCTGTGGTTGGCACTCGAGTGTTTTGAGTGATGACTCCATCCAATCTGAGCGGCGTTTTCCTCTAGGTTGGTAAAGCCCAAAGAACCATACAGACAGGAGGAAAGAAAGAAAGATGAGAATTTTACAAAGGCATCGCCTCCTGTAGCTCTGCCAGGCTTGGGCTGTGGCCACACATCTGGGCAGCTCCAGCTGCTCTGACATTTTCTTCTGCAGGTCCTAGGGAGGTGGCCAGTTTGAGGTTAACAGGTGCTCAGCTCTGGATCCTCTAGAGTTACCTGGAATATGCTGATGAAACCCTTAAATAAGCCTTCAGTGACCTTCCTGCCTATTGCCAGGCACT